CAGAGGAAGCGCCGCCGGACCGTGAGGCGGGGCAGGAAGTGGGCGGCCGCCGGGAGTTGGCGCCAGCCCCACGCAGTCTGCCTGGCTATCCAGGGGCCTGAGGTTGCAGCTTCAGTACACAGCACACAGAGCCCCAGGAGGCCAAAGACCCCGCAGGCCAACCCATCGGCCTGGAGACCCGAAGCGGGCCTCCCGGACTTCGTCAGCCCCACGCCCTCCGGGCGTTTCAGTTTTGCTTTATCGCTAAATTCCGTCTTCAGTGTCAGGGACTTCATCAGCGTGCTGAGGGTCTATCTCCATTTTACTGAACAAATAAATCATCTAAGCTCAGAGGCACAATAACCCCCTGCACAACCTGAGGTGCACAAGTCCCAGCCAAGGCTGGGTGCTCTCCATCCTTGCCGCAGGGCCTGGGCAGCCTCTTCCCACCTCTTGCCCCCACCGAGGGTTTGCTGAAGCAGGGTCATCCGCCACAGACCAAAAACCACAGAGGCATGATGGGGCCTGGCTTTCTCTTTAGTTATCACACTGTGAGGCTGTCAGAGAAGGCACTTAAACAGGATGGTCACCCTTGACTCAGGTCAACCATAGCCTCCCTCCCCCAACTCCCTTGGCACTGGTTTGTGGGTCCCCTTAACTTAGACCCTGGGAAGAACCCAAGGCCTTGACCTCCAGACTCCACTAGTGTGGGGCAGGGGTTCAGAAATAGAAGTCAGAGTTGGAAGGCAGGACTGGGAGCAGGAAGCCCCCAGCCAGCAGAGGATCAGAGGAGGCTGCAGGGGGTGGGTTGGCACAGGGGAGGGGGACAGCTTGGCCAGGTTTCCTGGAGACCCCCCGAAACCCAAGAAGGTCCCACCTCCTGCAGACACCCAGAAGGCACCTGTGAAGTTGAGTGAATGGGGAGGGGCACCAATTAGGAGGTGGAGACCCCCCCACTCAGCTGGTGGACCTAGCACATTGCTGGGCATAGAAGGTGCTCAGAGTATTTTTGAATGAACAGAGCAAAGGGGCTGTGAGGGACAGGACAGAACCTCAGCCCCCTGGCCCAGCTTGTTCAATTCAGAAAATAGCAGTTTAAAAAAATGTAAAAATCCTTTCCCTCCCCCACCCCAATTTCTGGGCCCAGGAAGGGGGCAAGGGAAGGGTGTCTCTATCCTGACCCTTCCCTCTCTCCTTCCCTTAAAAATCTATATACACATATACATATTTATATGGCACCACAAGGGGGTCCTGCCTATGCCCCCCGTACTCAGAGCCCGAGGAACCAAGTCACAGGGCCTTGGGTGGTTAAGGCAGAAGTAGGGGTCCAGCTTTGGAGAGGTGGGGCTGTGGGATCCTGAAGGAAGGATGGTTGCTCCCTTCACAGATGGTCACAGATATCTCTCCCAACCCCCGGGGCAGAAACTGCTGCTTGCTCTATCGGTCCCAAGGCAGGAAGACACCTAGCAGCCACCAGCAGGCTGTTCCAGGCAGGAGCTGGTAGGATGATGTATGTGTCCTTGTCCCTGGGAAAGCTGACAGGGAAGAGGGGGGGTCTATAAAAGGCACTTGGAGTCCACTGTTCCCAGGCTGGGGGCCAGAAACCCTGCCTCCACCCCCAAAGCAGAACAGGGGCTAAGGGGCCCGATTTGGCAGCAGAGAAATATGGCAGCATGAAGGAGACAGAAAGGGGGAGCAGCAGGCATGGCCTCCAGGCTCCCTGAAAAGGGGAGAGGAGGTTTGAAGGCACTGACGCGGGCCCAGGGGCTCATCATCCTTGGTGCAGCCCAGTGGGGGCTGGTAGGGCGATGCCTGCTTCCCCAGGGCAGTGAACATGCTGCAGCCCGCAGGTTTTCTTAACGAAGAGTACAGGCAAGTGCCCAGAGTCTGCATGGCGGGAGGTGCAGGCTTCTGCCAAGGGCAGTCCTGGCCCCGCTGCGCCTCACTAGCTCCCAGGCCGAGGCTGCCTGAGCACTGAGTACACGTCATCCACTCGGCTGAGTTGCTCAAAGAAGGGTAGTAGGTCGTGGAGTTCAGTGTCACTCATGTTATCAAACCACGAGGCCACCGGTACCTGGGGAGATGGGAAGAGGAAGGCGAAGGTGCAGGCAGGCCAGGATGCTGAATGCCCAGGCCAGCCCTTAGCATCCACTACTCAGGCTGCCCAGCTCCCAGGAACCCCTTTCCCACAGCTCTCAGTTGGACAGCAACTCGCACTGCACATATATAGCAAAAGTTTCACAGAGCAACACTTAAACTTACTGTGCTAAGTACTCAGATTGTTTGTTACTCTGTTTCATTTTGTTAAAAGTCCCAATCAGGACTCACTACATTCCTTCCCTGGCCCATTAATACGTGGCAACTGGCACTTTGAAAAGCTGAACTGTCCTACTGCCTGGAGGCAGGCACCGTCCACACACAGGTAGAATGGACCAATTAGCCAAGTACCAGGCAGCAGCAGTGGTGTGTGTGGGTGACAGCCACGGAAAGGCATAGCCTCTAGACACCACTATATCTATATCTGGGGTTGTGGAGGCCAAGGCAATCTAGAGGAGATCTTGTCCCTTGGTTCCAGCCCTGTGTGGTCTTTGAGCACTCACGGCATTGTCTGGGTGGAAGACATAGGAGGCTGGCGAGTTGTCCAGGATGAGCACCCGCCGAAGGTCTCGGCCCAGGCGGCTCAGGTCCTTTACGTAGTTCCCCCGGTGGAAGACACATGATTCTCGGAACAGCCGGGCCCGGAAGGCCCCCCACTTGTCCAGCAGGTCAGCTACTGGGTCTGCATACTGGGGGTGGGAGGTGGGTCATCCAGGGGCTGGGAGTGGCCCAGGGCTCCATCTGGCTGCATGCTGGAGGCAGATGGGAGGGCAAGGTTACCCCACATCCCTAGTGGGAGCTCACCTTGGCCAGGCTGGCGGTGAACAGCACGCACTCGAAGAGCTCACCCATTCGCTGCAGGAACTCATCCACATGGGGTCGCTTCAGCACATAGACCTGGGGGGTGGGCCAGTGAGGGGCTGTGGCCCGCAGGCTGGGGAGGGGGCAGCAGAGGGCTGGGAGGGAATGGTGGAGGAGGTAGAGGAGCCAGGGCCTGTGGTGTCCCCTGGCCGGCTGCCCCAACCACCCAGTGTACCAGAGGATCAAGACAAGCTTCAAGCCCACCACCAGATCCCACCTGGGGAGTCATTAAATCCCCAGTCTCTTCCCCAATCATGGCCTCAAAAAAAGGAGGACCCCGGGGACAGCCCCCTCACCCCAAAGCTGCAGGGCGCCGGCCCCCGAGCCAAGTAATAGAGAACAGGTTGGACAGCATACAACCTATCCTGAATTACTTGAACTGGGTCCCGGGCAAGGGTGTGCAGGGCGAGAGGGCACAGCGAGGCCAGGCCAGAATCCTGGAGTCGGCCAAGTCCCGGAGGTTCTGTGTGACCTCAAGCAAATCTCACACCTTCTCTGGGCTGCCACCATTCCACGTCTATCAAAGTCCCATCTGGGGCTCTCTCCAGATTGGTGGGAGGAGTATGGGGTCTGGGAGCAGATGCCAAGCCCACCACCTCCTTCCCTACCCCTCACCTGGTGGACCACCCCATCGATCTCCACTGGGATGATGAAGTCGGCATTGTTCACTGGCTGCGGGGAGGGGGAAAGAACTGCTGGAGCTAGGGTGGGGAGCCCCAGGAGCCAGCAGAGACCTCCCCACCTGGCCAGAGCAGGCCCCTCCTGGGCTCAGGGCCAAGAGCTCCTGGGCAGGACCCACCTTGAAGGAGCTGTGCACCAGGGTCTCGTCCAGGTCGATGACCACACAGATCTTGTCTGAGTCCTGGGCTTTGGCCTCTGGGAGCAGGTACTGCACTGGGCTCTGCGGTGGGAAGGGGCAGGGCTGGGTGGGGGCACCTCCCACAGGGCCTTCCCTCCCCTGGTGGCCTGAGGACACGAGGGGACAGCGGGCCATCCCACCCCCTTCCCAGCTTTGGCCCTGCCAACTCTCTAGGCCCCAAATCATTCATCTTTGAAGGGCCGTTCAGAGTTGTTTTAGTGGGCAGCAGTCTTAAGGCAGACAGAGCTGGGCCCTAGGGCCTGGGGGAAGGAGCAGGGCTTGGGAGTAGGGCTCCCCCTTCTCTGACCCCCCCAGGGTGCTGAATGGTGTGGGGCCACACAACCTCCACCAGCAGCCGTTCCCTGAGCTCCCTCCTAGCCCATCCCAAGTCCCCTGCTCCTCCCACCTGGCTCCTACAAACCTTGGGAATGGCACCGTTCTCCTCCACCAGCAGGGGTGCCCCGCTGTGGGAGGGCAAGGCCTCCCCATCTTCACGGCACACGCAGCAGAAGAGCGAGTGGAGGATGCCCCGGCTACGCGGCTTTTGGGAAGCGGCTGACTTCTGGTCACCTGAAGCAGGATGGGGACGTGGACACACTAGGCTGCAGAGCCCAAGTGCAAACCCTGGAGCTGGTCTAGCCACGCCCCCTTCCTTAGCACGGACTTTAAGGTGACTCTGACCCTCCCTGAAACGCGCCTGCCAGGACCCCCGCCAGTCATTGCTCCACCTCCCCAGGAGTCCAGTGTGACCACAAAGACACCCGTGTGGGGGGGGGTGACGAAGGGAACGAGGTGCTTCTCTCTCACAGCCTCTATCACCTGCCCACCTTACCTGGGCAGCGTCTGCTCAGGAGGCCCAGTGCCTGAGGCCCCAAAGCCCACTCCCACTCTCCCTCCATCCTGTCCATCCCGTGGGTTCAAAGTCCTTAGAGGTAGGGGGTGCAGTCCCTAGGAG